AAGGAGGATCGTAAAACAAAAATGGACCAAACCCTCAAATTGATCAGGCAGGACTTTGTTTACAATTAGTTTTTCTCTCTGTTTTTAGCCGAACACACAAACTCATCTTGCGTCATAATCGAAGAATGGAATTCGACCTTGCATGCAGTCCTCGTTGAGTAGATTGGGGGATTCCGCTCCTTCCCAACGCTTAGCGAACAACATAGACAGGGTTCAAGGAGGGACCTCAAACCATGACTAAGGGCTTTACAGACGACCTCGAAGGTAAGTGTGAGTGCTAAAATCTGCCCTTACCCTGACCTCTGTCAGTGTCACTTGAGAGGTGACAGTCAACTTGATAAATAATTAGCGATAATGAGGAACGGAAGCGTACCCACTAACTCCTAACTCCCAGCCATTGACTGGAGGAAAAGAGTTTACCGTAATTTTTCAGACCCTCATGCTTCCGTTTCAGAGCAAGCGGGAAGTACACAATGCACTTCCGCAGTATGATTTCCGGTGAACAGGAATAATGTGAAGGCAGCTTCGTAGTGGTAGAAGTGACTTCGGTCAAGCTAAGTAAAGGACCGCAAGGGTTCCTGTATTACCCCAAGCATCTACGATTACAGAATATCACACCAATTCAAGGGCACCTGCAACTGGAACGGCCAAAACATTGCCTACTGGCTGGATGACGTATAGCGAGACGTGCTTTTGTCCTTTGACATCATGGTTATCACTGAATGACTCTCTAATTCTTCTTCCCAATTACTTAAATCACTCACCACTTCGAACTCAAATGATTGCCATTTATGTCTCCTTCCTGGTGTTTGTGCGTGAGTATACATGGTGGACGGAACACATTTATTTATTCACCCGAATTTGTTTGCCTACAAGATGATTTGTCTAAAGCAAATCTTTTTACATTTGTGCCAGAATAAGAAGTCCTTAGAGGCATTTATATGTGCCGGGGTCAGCTAATCGGTCAGAAGAATGCTGCATCCCTTTTCTATCCTCATAATCCAGTAACCCATACCACGGTAAAATATTCTCATTTGAGAACCCAATTTGACGGTTGCGAAGGAGAGAAGAGTGGGGTGAGATTCTGCCTCCTCATCCGCACATGTAGCCCAACTCAGACAATCACATGCACAATAGACTAGATGGATGCGAAATCACAGGCATATAGGAAAGAAGGTGGACGCGGCAAGTAAACATTTTCAACTTTTTCCCTTTCCTTGACGATAAGACTCTTCCTACCATATTTCGTCTCCAATAAAAAGGAATGCCTCATTTTGATTGGAAGTAATCCAGCAAATAG